ATACAGAAACATATCACCCCATGTAATACAGAAACATATCACCCCTTGTAATACAGAAACATATCACCCGTTGTTATACAGAAACATATCACCCCATGTAATACAGAAACATATCACCCCATGTAATACAGAAACATATCACCCCTTGTAATACAGAAACATATCACCCCATGTAATACAGAAACATATCACCCCTTGTAATACAGAAACATATCACCCCATGTAATACAGAAACATATCACCCCTTGTAATACAGAAACATATCACCCGTTGTTATACAGAAACATATCACCCCTTGTAATACAGAAACATATCACCCGTTGTTATACAGAAACATATCACCCCATGTAATACAGAAACATATCACCCCACGTAATACAGAAACATATCACCCCTTGTAATACAGAAACATATCACCCCTTGTAATACAGAAACATATCACCCGTTGTTATACAGAAACATATCACCCCTTGTAATACACCATCATATCATTTATGTGCACTACTTAATGACAAAACTTACAATCCGTCAGTGTTACCACAGCGTGTCTTTATTCTTATCACAATATGCCACACATGCTTTACACGCTACTCCTGCACGAGACAAATAGTGCATCTCGAGTCATGGATCAATGACGTCACATGCTGCATTCATGAGTGTAGGGACCGCCTCCATGGTCCAGTGGTAGAGCGTCCGCCCGGAGAGCCGAAGGTCCCTTTTTCGATCCCCAGCCACGTCATACCAAAAGACGTTAAAAGATGATACTTGTTGTTACCCTATCTGCCGCTCGGCTTTAAGGGGCTAAAACAAGAACTGGTCGGCTCGGAGTCAGTATACTGTGTCTGTCCGAGGTATTTATGATAAAGTGCGGCATGGTATCTCAGTGAGCTAGCACTATAAATCGACATCAGCCCGGACTAGAACAAGCAGCCACACAAACACACACGTACATGAACGTCTCTATATAAGTGCAATAATCTTGGACGCAATGTTAAACCCCATTTCACCTCACCTCATGAGCATAGGTTAACACAACCTTCCATTCGTTTGTGCATTGAACTAATCTAATATCTCTTGAATATGATTAATTCTTCATATATATATATATAACCAACACGTATGGTATTCGCGTTTCTTTTGGCGGTGAGTAAATATAGCACCCTTGACAGTGCAGTATGTATCGTAGCAGGCCCCTTGCTCATCGCTTGGTATTTCCGATCCAAAATGGTCACTGTGAAATGTCCACAAGATCATGATGTCATCCGAAATTGAACGCTACAGAACCAGAGCGTGTAAAAAAAAAATTAGATTTCGTTGAATGATTAATGACATGTTTGATTGTCTTTATCATCTGAAGTTTATTGATTGATAAGACAGCCAGGGTTGTAAATTATGATAATTGGAACGGCATATGCTTGATTGGCTATGACAGTGTTTTGATAAAGAAATATGCATTATTCATGAGATCAGTTAACAGTTGTATGGGGATACGGGCCAGTTTCATCTTCAGCTGTGTCGCAGATTAGCTTAATGCGAAAATAAAGTAGGAATGTCAAATTACTTTAATCAAGAACTTTTAAAATTTTGTTCAAAGAATGTTTTTATTTAATTATCTCTGTAACTTGAATACATATTAAACAATATCAAATTTGCATTAAATATGAATCTTTAAATGTTAAGCTTGTATGTCAATCATCTATTTAAATTTAGAATTTAACTACATGATGGAGTAAGATGTCCAGAACATATTAATACATTGCAGTCACGATCCTATTCAAGTTCCCATCATAATGGCAGGGGAAGTGACTTTCACCCAGACCAAATTTGGATGTTATAAATATTTACACGGAAGTAGGAAGCAGATATGTGCATGTTAGGTTCTGCAGAGGATTGTGGGATATCCGATATGTCATATTAATCAAATCAGGATACATGTAGTAGCACATTTTTTAATGTTTTTTTGTGAGCAAAACCTACACTGTTCCCATGCTATGACAAAAGGGTTCTGGGTAGAGAGAGAGCTGTAACGTATGAGAGAAATATTGCTTCTTCTACAATACTTTGGTGAAAAATGGACCAGTTTCATTAGAAAATTGGAATCTGCTTCCTGGGCAATAAATAAATAACCTGAAACAGGAAATGAAGAAAAGAAATATTTTGATAATATCAACGAGGTTTATACGTTCTTATAATTCATGGGGAAGAGCTGAGAGGCAGGCGAGAGAAATGTGTTTTTCATCGTTACTGGAGGATAGAGATGTTTTCATTGTGTGGCCTGTGCGCCCCGAGGCAGGTCTCACTGATTCACTTCGGTGATGTAATTTACGACTGTTTAGTTCCAGGCAGAGAATAACGCTCACCGCACCACTGTTTATGGAGCAGAAATTATGCTAATTAAAAACACTAATTAGAATTGATTCAGTTGAAAGTTGCCGTCATGTGATTGGTTCTTAGTGGAATTGTTTGGAGAAATTTTCGCGAACATTTAAACATTATTTTCAATATAAACAATCTTATTTTTGAAAATGTAAAAAAATATTGCTGTATGATTTGTATGGGTGGAAATATTTAGTGTGATAATTTTTTTATTAGCTCAATCATATACCTGTGATTCGTAACAATCTAAGTGATTATCTATTAATAAGAATAAATCTTCATAGAAAATTTAGCAAGTAGTTATGATAGTTTTAGTTTCCAAATCAAATTTGGCTGCAATTTGTAATCTCGTAATGTTTTTATATCTGTGATTTGCATTATTTGCATATGAGCAATTCATATTTGGCTAGTGAATAATTGTGCTTTAATGTGGTTATCTGTGAGTTTTGGCTTCCATTGGGCTGGAGGCAAATAGTCGTAAACTGCACAACACAAGAATATCCCCCGAAGGGGAAAACAGTTCTGAAGGCTGCCATGTTGTTTTATTGCCAGCACTGAGATACAGAAACTTTGAACTCTGCTCATGTAGAGGAAGTTGAAAGAAGACTACAAAAGAGAGTTATGCTTTATGTAGTATGATACGCTTAAAAAACAGACTTTACTGATGATATCTAGATGAAATTGGCTTAATGGAGTACATCAGTCAAAGATGTATCCTGGTATATATAGACTTAATGGACAAAACAAGAATAGGTTGTCTGGCTAGTAGTATATTTGGAGAGGTTCAATTCAGTTGGTTCACATATTGAAAATCGAAACGTTTCTCGTTAAAATTTAAACCCTTTTCAGAACGTTGATGAATATAGTTAAGTATTTTTAAGATAAGTTTTAGAATGTGATTGATGCCAAAAGAAGTCGCAAGTGATTTATGGCTTATGTGAAGTTATAATTATGGCTTTTGAGTTCATTTGGGATTGTGTTGAAATTGTTACATTCTATCATTGCTGTAAAGATGTTTAATGTTAGGGAATTTCATTATATGTTTGTTCTTCAAATACAAGCTGCAAGTCATAAAATATTTAATTTGTCACATGACAATTTTCATTTGTGTGATTAAGACATAGGGTATTTTATAGCACTTCAAGGAAAATTACTTTATGTAAATTTACAGACTAGAAGAAAGAGATGTTGTGATTTATCATGCAATAGCTGTTTAGGTCAATTATTGCATTACACAATAATAATTGTCAGATTATCACCCATTGTTCTTTTACTACAATGGCAGCAATGAACAAATTTGGTGTCTGATTCGTTTAAGATTTGAAAGATCCTGACCTAATCCAATTTAACAGAGTGTTGTTTGTGTGTGAGAGGAGGGCAGATTGATGGAGGTGTTTCCAACGAGGCAGACCTTCGTTCGGGTATAGTGTGACAATGATGCAAGTGTGCCGGAAAGGGAGAAATATGGACTGGCTTAGATAGTGACTCATACTCCTCAGCACCATGATCCGGCCATATGTAATTAGATTTAGGCGGAGGACTTGACTAAAACAGGCATAAAGACCTGTGAAATAGGGGAGTGTAATGACCAGAGCCCATCTTCACTGCGGAATTGCCACAGTTACTGCAGGATTGTAATGGTGGCTGTATAATGGCTGCAGGCCCAGCATGGGGCCAGTGCCCATAGAATTAGGGGTCATTAGGTCCTTTCACCAGCTCAGTTGGCCAGAGTTGGTCATTTCTCCTGCTGAATCTGATTTATTCAGCGTCCATACATGCCTTCGATTCTATCAGTGGGGCTCCTCGTTTTAGGCTATTTAATCATCCGAGTTGGTAATAATTGGTTTTATGAGCGTGACCAGCTTGTGACTAAGGGAGCCCATCCCCACATGGCCATAATGTATTTCCCTGGTCAGTACATATGCATTTATAGCCCCCATAACAGCAACACTCTACTGGGTTTTTTAAACCTTTGATGAGGAATAGTCCTTTTACTTGTAAGACAATATTCTCCGTTCTTTATCAGGATTATTGACCTTTGTTTTTTTTAAGATTAGGGGACCAGTTTGGTTTTTATTTCAATATCAGTTGTAAAATTTATTATTTTATGGTTTTATCCATTCAAATATTTCCACGGTATGTGAATGTACAGAGACTGCTGCCTCGGGAATGGGTGATTGTAATGTTATATAATTCTCTTTGATGACTAATAACAGTCTCTGTATTTACTGTGCACTCATTACAGGAGAATTTTGAATGCTGAATGTTTTTAATTTTTTGATAGAAATGTTATATGATTCAATTTTGACAAAAGCTACTTGTGATTCAACTCCTTAATTGCTGTGTCTAATGACTGGGCAGCCCTCCATCTCCATTCACAACAAAATGGCAACTGCCGTCTGCTTCAGTGCTGCCGTCTGCTACATCTGCCTTCAGCAGACAACAGGACTTGGGTGTGAAATGCTTCAATTTTTAAAGTTTCCCTGTTCTGCAAAGTCCCGAGTGTTTTCTGTTGCACAGTTGCTCAGTGTCATCAATCAGTGTGTAGGAAGTGCTTGTAGCTGCAGTCATGAGCTCACATAACCAACAAACTTGAACTTAATCATGTCCGTTCCATGTTTCAGGAGTTTGAATGCGGGGTGCAGTTTGAGGGCTCTGAAAATTCCAAACAAGAATGGTCCTTCACGTTATACGACTTTGACGGGCATGGCAGAATCACTAAAGAGGTATGTACGATGTGCTGATGTGTTGTTTTTAACTTCATTCACTTGCAACGAGCTCCCTGTCCCACTAACAATGATCCGTCTTTGTACTTGTCTGATGCGTGTGAGGTCTGATGCATGTGAATGAATGATTTCTTGTCTGGGTAACGTCCAATTTAGAGCTCAGAAATCTCGAGAATTATTCTGGTTTTATTTCGTGATCTGACAAATTTCAAAGTACCAAGGGGTGGTTGGGTAGCCTGGTGGTTACAACTTTCACGCAGAAGACCCGGGTTTGATTCCCCCTATGGGTACAGTGTGTGAAGTCAATTTCTGGTGTCCCCTGCTATTATATTGCTGGAATATTGCTAAAAGCCGCATAAAACCATACTCAACGTACCAAGCATTGCCAAATGAAGTCACTTCCACCATGCTGAGAATAGACTTGCACAAGTCTCTAAGGAAATGATTATTAGTTTAAATCATAATTATTAGATGATATAAATTGAGAACAAGTTGTCCCTACAAAAGAATGGTGTGTCTGCTGATCTAGACTTGCTTATGATGAAGTAGCAGACTATGTCAAAGTGTATATCTCTCACATCAAGTCAAAAATAGCAACTGAGTAAGGAGATTGCACAAACAGTTTCTTTTTTGAGAAAAAAGTGTATTCAGACAGAAACAATACATGAGTAAAAATACTCCTTTTGAAAGCAATTCTTCTCAAACCTTTAAGTTTGTTTGTTTGTTGTTTAACGCTGCACTCAGCAATATTCCAGCTATATGACGGCGGTCTGTAAATAATCGAGTCTACAATTGGTGTTGTTTGAAATGTACCAGTGCTGATGTAAAGTTAATATCAAGTGTTTAGTTTCCGAGATGGAATATTTCACCAATTTGATGTAAAAATGAAAACACTTTACATTAGGAGGCGAGAGTGTTGCAGAAGCCTTTGTAGTATTTGAAGCAAGATCAGGTTTACATACTTGTACTCAGCGGTAACAGAAATGATTATTATTTTTTATGTCATGTTTCAAGTTGTTCAAAGATTTATCAAATGTCAAAGAACTCTGATATATAAAAACAATTAATTTCTATTTTACAGTCAATCTCACAAATTCATTATTATTTTTGATAATCCGACCCTTTCCTTTGAAATTTTAGAAACGTTTTCCAGTGAGTTTTTTGGTAAACATATCTCCTTTTTTTTATTACGATAATTATTTTGATATCAAAGAAAATCTTTGAGATCAAAGTACTGTATGTTACAACAGGTATAATCTCTTAATACTATGATTACTTCCAGTATGTGCTAAGAGGCCTAAAAGATCAAAGAATAAAATCCACTTTGTATTCACATATTGTTTGGTAGACACAAAGCAGTACCATCGACCAGACAAGACGAATACAGCTTCTTTCACATCAAGAATAACAAAGTACAACACATAGAATGGGTTACCAGTAATTCTTCTGGCTAGCAAGGACTTAATTGTCATCCCGTAAGCTTTCATCCAAATACTAGGTTGGGAAATACAGTAAACGAGTTTGTCTGATAACGAGCTTCATAAAGACAGCTTTACCCAGGAGAGAATAATATCAAAGGATGGATATTGCTACAACTTTCTCCAGATAATGTGTCTTCATATCAAATTTGGCGTAGCTGATCATTCCTATTTGGGTATAAGGGATATTGATAGGAAGCAAATTACAATGTAAACCTCTGGGGTTTGTTAGTGTTGGTACTCGCTGGAGGATCTGATGTAGCCATCTATATTATGGAAGGACTCATCTGATGTAGCCATCTATATTATGGAAGGACTCATCAAATAGAAGCTGTTGAAGCTGTTGTTGTGGGACTGGTGAGGTAAAAATTGCTGATGTCACACACTGGAAGTCAAGTCTAATCAAGGCCGTGTTCATTACAGAAAATTAGCTTAACATATTTTATTCAATTTTACTGGAAGTGTTGGGTAAACAGGCCTGACTGGCTTATGTAAATAAAGCTCCTTGTTACACATAATTGTGTTTGTGTTGACATCAAAACTTTAAGGCCAAGCAACAATACAAATTATATGGGTGACCACTCATGTTAACAAGACTACAGTCATATGCATATTAGATTATTGTATCGGGTGGTCAGGCTCACTGACTTGGTTGGTGCATGTCATCGTGTCCCAATTGCGAGGATCGATGCTCATGATGAGGATCACTTGATTGTCTGGTCCAGATTCGATTATTTGCCGACCGCCGTCATATAGCTGGAATATTGCTGTGTGGGCGTTAAACAACAAACATACAAACAAAACTCAGTGTAAACCATCCTCATGTATAGCTTTACTTTGAAACATTGCAAATGTGAGGTGAGGTGAAATTGGGTTTAACGTTGCGTCCAAGATTATTGCACTTATATAGCGACGTGCATGCACGTGTGTGTGGCTGCTTGTACTAGTCGGGACTGATCCCTAGCTAACTGAGATACCATGCCGCAGTTTAACATGAATACCCCACTCAGACACAGTATACTGACTCCGAGCCGACCAGTCCTTGTTTTAGCCCCTTAATGCCGAGCGCCAGACAGGGTAACAACAAGTATCATCTTTTAACGTCTTTTGGTATGACACGGTCGGGGATCGAACCCGGACCTTCCGCTCTCCGGGCAGACGCTCCACCACTGGACCACGGAGGTTGATTCGAACATTGCAAAGAGATGAGGTCGATTAACCTTCCACTATTTTCTATGAAATCTTGAACAGACATAAGTATGTTGTGGTTGACATCTTGTTAAATTCCTGTTACCATACAATACTGTCTTGAGATAATCCCCTTTGTTTAATAGTAGAAAAACGTCGTAATTCTATGTTAAAGTGTGGGAGTTACAATCACCTTACAGCTAAGATTTTTTTATGGAACAGGAACAGCTTTAGACATGACCATCTCGAGACCTGTGAAAGTCTTGCTTCTTGCTTTTGTTCCAAACATGCTCATTTTGGATTGTTATTTGAGTAACAGTCTGGTTTAAGTTTAGTCTAGGATTAACTCCTTGTTAAGATGTTCAACGAAAACAAGATTGGTTTCCTTCCATTATGACAACTTGTTATCTGACCGGCACTACTGCTTAGATGGCCGGTTCAACTCAGCTGCAAATTGGGCGGAAACATTGGCAGGATAAAATGGTTACTCCTCCGTCAAATAGAAATGAAGCATGCTGCAAGCTATCTCTCCTGCGATCACAAAGTCCGACTTTGTTATACCCCTTATCGTCCCCGTCTCTTTGCAATGTTCCAAATAACCCTAAATTACCCCCAAAATGGACTGCAAATATGTTCTTTGGCTGCACCAAATCGCCTCATCTGCTGCGAGGATAGCAATGCTCACATTTCTTCTCCATTTGTGTTTGAAGTAAGAGGCCTTCGTTGTCAGTTCGCACTCATGCTTACCAAGTTAAAACTGATATATTATAGGATTTGGCTTTTAGACACACAGATCAGGAATCGGATATCAACTGAATAGAATATAAACACTGGGGATCTAAGATTTAAACTTGTGTTTCACTGCATAAGGTCTGTTTGATGGTATGTTCTGAAACTGGGAGTGTCCAGGCGAGATTGGCGCTTTCAGGATTCAAATGGCTGATTAGTGGAAAGTAAGGTCCAGTAAGCTTCACAAGCGGCTCTACTCTTGTGTGTAACAAATCGTCATGGTAATTGTGTAGACACAAATTGGTTAACAAATAATGCTAGAGTTTGGAACAGTTGAAGAAAATTATGTATTTTGGGCTTGTGTTTTATAAGACAACAGCATACTGTATTTGTCATGGTACTGTAACTACCATGGTTCTTTGTGCCAAATATTTTCTATTACGTTTTTTTCGTGTATATCAAAAACAGGTAGACATATTGTATTAGCCAAACAGAATTTTTTAAAATAAGTCAAAATATTGTCCAACATATCGTGCAACACCAATTTTGAATCAGACTCTCAATATTTATTCTTTTGGCCTTGTCATATTAAAAGTAGTAGTAGTAATAGAATAAATTTAATAAGATTATTAAATTCACATTTTCTTGTTTGTCACACAGAAAGGTATTAGCCATTAATAATTATTATCCTTCATACTAAGAAAAGGATTACGGGTTCATTAAGATTTTATTGTGTTTATTTAAATCTGTGTTGTAGTCTGGAGGTGTAGGGTGTACATTATGCCATCAACCACTGGCGGGCCTTGGCCATACTCGACTGTATGCAGGCAGTCACGATATAGCTTTTATGTTGCTCGCTAACTGCAGTTTAAAACAACAAATAAACAACATACTAGAAACTTTGGATAAATTTGTCACTTTTTGTCAAGCAATAACTAACTGTAATTCACATTGGATAATTAAGTGTAATTGTTTCCGACAGAGTGTAATTAAATGCAGCAATGAAAGTGTTAATCAGATTATCAACCCATCGGCATATGTCTCTCAACATCAACACATAAGAAACCGATTACAATTCCAAGTGCTGTAGGAAACCCAGAACGGCTCCCTCTGCTATGTGAGTGAGAAGACTTGGGTCAGCTTGTATATCTCAACTGGTGGGGTTGTCTGTAGAAGGCTAGGCCAGGTCCAACTGTTATCACATGTAGGGTGAAGAACATCAACACTATCAAATACCTTGTATTCCCTGATGTTCCTCTTCTCACATATGATTGGCTGGGAGACAGGATGAGGGAATCGTGGGAGTAGACTGGTCATCCACAGTTGGGGCCTTGTTAAGGAGGAATATAGGTAGGGCCGAAGGGGGTATATAATACAGAATTTTTTTATCCTTTAGGATCATACAAGATTATTTTACATTTTATTTTTTTGGTGCAAATTTAGATTCTATCAGGCAACTCTACTGTGTTATTTGTTTGGAAAAGTATTCTGTCAATTTTATTCAATTCAACACTTTAACAGCAAGTTATCACCACACAGCTGTGACCTGAATCATTCACATAATTTGAGACTAACGGGATCGAGTGGTCAGGCTCGCTGACTTGGTTGATGCATGACATTGTATCCCAATTGCGTGGATCGTTGCTCATGATATCTATCACTGGATTGTCTGGCCCAGACTCGATTATTTACAGACCGCCGTCATATAGCTCGAATATTGCTGAGTGCGGCATTAAACAACGAACAAAACAAAAAATCTGAGGAAGCCCAATCAATCCTTCCAAACAGGGCATCTCTATGTAATATTGGTTTAAATATTAGTACACATTGGATTACCCATTGGGGCAGTGGGATAGCCTAGTGGTTAAAGTGTTTGCTCGTCATGCTGAAGACCTGGGTTCAATTCCCACATTGGTACAATGTGTGAAACCCATTTGTGGTCTCCCCTGCCGTGATGTTGCTTGAATATTGCGTAAAAGCGGTAAAACAATACTCACTCACTCACTGATCACGCAGGACTAAACTATGATGGTGTCAGTATGCTAAACGTCTCGTAACAGTTGATCCTTCACCCCACCAGGGCCCTTACACTGTGTGTATTCATGTACACTGATGATACATCAGTTGTTGTGCTATCTATAAGGACAGGTGATGAAAGGCGTGCTCCCATCTCTGCTGTTAACGTCCATTCTGTCAGGAACTTCTAGCCTCTCCTGATGTGTAGCACATTTGGAAATATTGTTAACTTCCTGCTTGAAGAGTTCCATGCGGAATCAAGTGCAGCAGTTCTAGCTGAGGAGTGTGAAAGCCTCACATATGAGGTGTTATGAAAGTGTGCGTTATTGACTCTTGCAGCATGAAAATATACTACCGTATTTTCTGGAGTATAGTGCACACTTTTTTCCCCAAAAACACAGCTGTGTAGAAGGGGTGTGTGCATTATACATGCCATAATGAGTTTTGATATTTTTTCTCCAACATAATTACACTGTCTGGATATAAAACGTGTTTATTGTATATCTGGACTTATGTTTGCAACTTATTTCATTAATTTTATTCAAAATTCCTTTAATATTGTTATAATATATGTAAATACTGAGCTTTGGGGGATATTTGACAAGATATTTCACCATCAGAATTTGTTTGAATTGTTGTTTATATTTTTTATTGTACATTTTAACTTTTGAATTAGAAAGAGGCTTGACCATCTGTTTGCATCAAACAAGACTAGAATTATAAAAGTTATTAAAGGGGATTGCTTTGTTTGTTGTTTAATGCCACACTTAGCAATATTACAGCTTTATGACGGTGGTTTGTAAATAATGGAGTCTGGACCAGATATTCCAGTGATTGACATCATGAGTATCAATCTACGCAATTGGGATATGATGACATGCATAAACCCTGTAAGCGAATCTGACCACCCGATCCCGTTAGTCGCCTCTTACAATAAGCATACTCGCCTTTTACAGCAAGCATGGGTTGCTGAAAACCTATTCTTCTCCGCATCAAAGGGGATGGAAACTAGTCAATGTATCCTGTCCAAAGAATGAAAATAAGTCACATGGTTATGATAGATACTAATCAACATTTGCTAATGACCGAAATAGTCATCTTTAGTCAAAGGTGTGGTCCTTAGCAAATGTTGAGTACCCGTACTATTGATTATCAATATGATTTCAAAAGTTAGAATTTTCTTTATGCATTCTTCTCATATCACTGAAATTATATTTTCAGGATCTAGCCAGTTTACTCAAAGCACTGTATGATGCAGTTGGATCGTCCATCAAGTTGCCGCCAAATGGTACAAAGACGCTGAAGCTACGTCTCACAGTGGGGCAGGATAATACTCAGATTCAGGTACAGAGGGCATCTCCAACGAAGGGCAAGGAGAATGGCAAGGCCAAAGAAAGTAAAACCAAAGACTCCATCAGAATCAAGGAGTTGTCCAAACTGAACAACTTGATGCAGCCAGGCTCTGCGAAGGTGAATAACGAGACACAGAGTGCAGCGGCAGTAACTGGAACAAAGACAACAACAACTACGACGACGACGACTCGCAACCAGTTGAGTCTGGAGGATCAGCAGCAGTTGGTGGAGCTGGTGCAGGAGAACATGGAGAGGAACCACATTAAACAGCTCAGGTATGTCACACTCTGATCACGTGATCAGTAGGATCACATCAGACAGTTCAGTATGTTCTATGATAGAAGGGGTATCACGTGATCCAAAGGATCACACACACACACACAGAACGATCAGGGGCGGCACATTAATCATGTCGGGTATGTCACAAAGGGTATGTATTTTGGGTAGGATCATATCTAACTTGTGAAGCAAGCATGATTGTGGAGACAATATGTAGCTTATATGTCATAGAGTTCAATATGAATCACCATTCTCCATGGTTAAGTTGAATCAAGCCACATAGTCACACGATCGGTGATGAATGTCAGTCACACGATCTGTGATGAATGTCGGTCACACGATCGGTGATGAATGTCGGTCACACGATCGGTGATGAATGTCGGTCACACGATCTCTTATGAGTGACAGACTAAGACTCAAAGAATTATATAAGTAACGATTGTGTGGATGATAGGTGATCAGATTGTGATCAGATATGCCACACAGGTAACATGATCAGGGAGAGGTGTTGGCAAGACACAATGCCGGTAGTCAGAGAACTCTCATGTCGTCTCGGTCACCTGATTCCTGATCCCTAGGGATGGGTACTAAATGTACCTGTCTTCAGTCAGGGAGATTACATTCGACTGCTCAGCACGCCAACTTGGAACTAGAAGTTCATTATAGATCTTGACTATTGTGGATATATGGAGGTACAGTTTTCTTCCTTAGTTCTACTTATAATATGTATGAAGTCTTGTTTTTCTATTCTAACTACTGTGTTAGTAAGGAGATAACTGATAGTTTCTTTGTTTGTTTTTGTTGTTTAACGCCACACTCAGCAATATTCCAGTTATATGACGGCGGTCTGTAAATAATCGAGTCTGGATCAGACAATCCAGTGATTGACATAAACATTGATCCACGCAATTGGTGACTCAGAGTGATCCTGTATAACCATCAGTGGGGTGGTGAGGTAGCCTAGTGGTTAAAGCATTCACTCATCACACCAATGTTCTGGGTTTGATTCCCCACAGAGGCACAATGCATTGAGCTCATTTCCCTGGCAAGATGCTGTTGGAACATTGATGAAAGCAAGGATAACCTCAACTCCCTCACTTAAGTCCTTGTCGATATTCAGACAAATTTCCATATTTATCGGTACCATAGATTTATCAATGCCCATTTGCAGGGCAAGGAATATTGTCAATATTTAACCTGACACTGATTGTCACCATTCCAAGACTTAAACACAAACTCACTCACTCACCCATGTGTTCTCCCACCACCAGCATGTATTTAGTCTACAACATGAGGTAGATGATCAGCTATTTACAGTGTTGCCACCCAGGAAAGATCACCCTTGTATAAGCTACTGGAGTTATCTCCCCTTCCCACAGATGTGTGTTATAGTCCATATCATCAGTAGTAACCTTTGTCTGTGGTATCCCTGTCTGACCACTAGAAAGGTCAGGAAGTGGTAGTCTTTACCCTTATTCTAATTGTCTGCTGTGTCCATCTTTATATTGACTTTATTTATGTTACTTTATCACTACTACTGAGGAGTATAAGCCAGGTGATACATATTGCCAGTTCATTGAATTTAATTATTCAAACCCCAAATCATACTACAATAAAAAGAGCTAGTTGGTCACCTGTCTTAAAAAAATCAGTAATTATATAAAAGTTACATATCAACAAATTCAAGTTATAAATCTACAAACACACAGGCTAAACTAGAGTGATTAATAACATTAGAAGCTTATGTAGCATAGGCTAGTCAACTCAAGATTTATTTGTCCCTTGGAAATAAACTACGATCTAGACCAGCTAATATGAAAGGTATTCAGTGGACTGATGCAGAGTGTTAGGTTCATTGTTGGGCCTCGTTGTTTGGTCTTGTTAGTGTGGCTAGACATTGCCGCAGCTGAGGGAGGGCTAACGAACTCCCCTCATTAGACTGTGCTGCTAATGAGGCAGATGCTGTTACAGCCGCTGTCACACTAACCCTGCGAGGATTGCTGGTGGAGCAGGGCAGATGAGGCTGTGATGTAATCAGGCTAAAGAACAGGCAATTTCTAGGATGATAGGCACAGCATTGATTTTAGTTTGGGCTGAACTTGAAAATTAAAATCTAATCATGCAATTTTATCAGTTGAGGAGTGAACTTTAATTCAGAAACATTTCCTTGACTATTAATACCATAGATTTATCGATACTCATTTGCAGGGTATGAATATTCCAGTCATAGAAAATAGTGTGATTGTTACGCAATGAAATTTATCATAAATATTCTATATAGCATGCAAAAATGGTAATTATTTATTGAACCTTAAAAGTGCAAACATGAGGATTTGTATTAAAGAGAAAAAGAGGGCAAAAAAATCTTGGCACATTAAAGTTGCTTTAATGCGCCAAGGCTAAGTTAAGTAATCCTAATTGATTGTTTATGTTTATGTGATGTAATGGCATAGCATATGGAATATGTGTGTAGCTTCAGCCATGTGTTATGACACGTGTCACACATCCATATGGTGAGGACTTGTATGCAGGCTTATCACATATGTTTCTGTGTGATAATGTCTGTATCACATGTCTGCTCATGCAGTTGTTCTTACATCCCCGTTCCATCTGTTATAAGATACGCACAACAATGTGCTGATGCAATCACTATACACATAACTATCCTGAGTCAGTGTATTCAAGGCAGGAAGGCTTTGCCTGTATATCTCTCTGGGCTGCTGGTTTTGTTTTGTCTAGGTGGCAGCAATGGTATGTCCGACTGGCAGACACCTATCTCATCTGGCAGACATTAGTCATTAGAGTCATGCAGTGTCCAGTTGGCACTGACCTTTGGTCAAACTTATTGGTTTTGTAGTGAAATACGAGCTATGGTATATCTTACAAGGGGGTGTTGTTGTGACATACGAGCTATATCTGACCAGGGGAATGCAGCTATATCTGACCAGGGGAATGCGTAGAGAGCTATGGAATATTTTACAAGGGGGTGTTATTGTGACATACGAGCTATATCTGACCAGGGGAATGCAGTTATATCTGACCAGGGGAATGTGGAGATGGTACTGGTAATGGTGGGGATGTTGTTGCCACATCTTGAGATGAGGGGTGGGTGTGGTGATGAGGGCGACGTCGGGTAGAAATTAGTCCTATACTGGAACAGTAGTAAAAGTGATCAGATAGCCGACACAGATCGGGTGACATTTCAACATATTTACAATATTTGATTATGTCTTTAATTTTATTTAATTGAGAGTCTGAATTTATTTAAGGCTGGCTAATTTAATTTACTGTTTTACAAGTTTTCTTTCTCAACATGGCAAAATGCAGGAAACAGAATAATAGAATAATATATGTTTGCCAGGGTTAGATGTATGTTTAAATATAAGAAATAGAAGATTATATTTGTTTGATTTTATAAATCAAAATATACGCGTATAGCTTGTCTGAAAACAGGAAAGCAATTTTATGCGGCTTTATTTTGAAAATATTGTCTCAAGGAAAGAAATATTTGTGTGATAAACTAAATCAGTATATTACAGTTGTATCAATATTTGGAAATCATGTTGCTGATGAAGGTGGAGATGGACTGTTTACTGACAACAGACTCGAACATTGATCAGATAAGCCAGATTGAAACTATGGTTCAAATTATAACATTTCCTGTGGTTAAAGAAACATGTTTAGGGAAGAATTGTCAGGTATGCAACCCCTAGGGTACAGATTTGTTGATCAAAGACAGGAGGGTCAGGGGCAAGCATTACACAGTGGGGAGTTGCACGTGGAGGATGTTGGAATGTTGTCAGTGGGGGAGGGATGGCAGGGGAGTGTATATTCCGGGGAGGGGATGGGGGGGTAGGTATGAAGGGGACAGATTGGAGAGTGTTGGCGGGGTGGGGGAGGGATGGCAGGGGAGTGCATATTCCGGGGAGGGGAGGGGGTAGGTATGAAGGGGACAAATGGGAGAGGGTTGTTGGGGTGGGGTAGGGTTGGCAGGGGAGTGTATATTCCGGGGAGGGGAGGGGGTAGGTATGAAGGGGACAGATCGAAGAGGGTTGTTGGTGGGTGTGGGGGTTTGGGGTGGCAGGGCAGAGTGTATGCAAGGGATGCTGAGTGGTATGCGGGTGATGGCTGGGAAAGGGTTGTCAAGGTGGGGGAAAGATGGCAGGGGGAGTGTATGCAAGGGAGTAGGGTGGTATCAAGGGGACGGATGGGAGTAGGGTTGTTGGGGTGGGGTAGGGTTGGAAGGGTAGTGAATATTCCAGGGGAGTGAGGTGGTATGAAGGGGACAGATAGGAGAGGGTTGTCGGGGTGTGGGAGAGATGGCAGGACAGTGTATGCAAGGGAGTAGAGTGATGGGTGGTCAGGGAAAGAGGGATGGGAGGGATGATAGAATATATGCAAGGGGAGTAGGATGGCCTGTAGGGGAGGGGTGGGAATAAGTTGCTCAGGGAGAGGGGAGGGGATGATCTCTCGTACAGACCTCATAAATAACCATAAACTCAAAACAAGTTAAGTCTTTAGCAAGTCTATAGACTAACATATAGTCTGAAATCTTTTATTACAGAACACAATGTTCTAGTCTAGATTTCATCTATTGGAAGAGATTCTCTGGGCTCTTTTCTATCATATATTAAAAGACAATTTGAAAACATCAACTTGAAATATTTCTTTTCTGAGACTAAATGTAAATCTAGGGATGGGGGATGCAGTGAAGAATACAGTTGCAGAAGGGGGAGATAGTTTAGGGGAGTGGGGGGACAGGTTTGGATGTATGCTCAGCATGGCCTGTGATGCCTAATGAGCATTCCTGTGTCTGTTCCTACCACTGCTACACACTTGGTGGCCGAGGGAGAGAGTTCAGGCCAGTGTTGTTGATGAGCTCAGGATGTTACTGTTCCTCTTCACTGACAGCCTGCACTTGTCCAAGTCTGCTGCCATCAGGAGATAGGTCTTTCTAGTCAGTCAGACTTCCTCACTTCTGACAGACAGGTCACACAGTTCTAGACTCTGATATCTTCACTTGTTGGCACTGTTTTCGCTCATTTCTCTGAACAGGCATTTGACTTCCGGATGCTGGTGTAATAACTCACTGAGGATGAGATCCTTGTACGTATATAGTTTTGGGTACTTTTGCAAATGAGTTAATCTTTTTAATGCTGTTTCTTCTTTTAGTCTTTGTTTGCTGATATGATGTTAAAATATTGTTGTTGTTTTTCAGACGTCACCATAGCGACTGTCGCAACATGATGGAACATCAGCACCATCACAAGCGTCGTCATAGAAACCATTGCTCACACGAAGATCGCCCAAAAGAGAGTCAGGACCGAAGGAACTACTACCTTGACCTTGCTGGGGTGGAGAACAATACGTCAAAGTTTCAGAATAATCCTACTGTGCCCACAGCAGGATCGGGTTTTGTGCAAACTGGCCACCACAGGTCAAGGTCACATGATGTGACCAAAAAATTTGACAATGTGAAAAGAGAATCAGAACGTTTAGCGAAACATTTAGAAGGTTCAAAACCAGACCACCCAAGGTCGAGGTCATTTGACCCCCAGGAAACAACGGCTGTATGTTCCCCAAAAGGACATTCGAAAAACCCCTCGTCCCCTCACAAGCACAGCAGCAAGTTCCGACCAGTGAGTTTACCAGCACATGTGCCCGCCACTGTGTCGCCACACTACCACCGGCGCCATCGGCACAGAGAGAAGGATCATGGACTAGCAATGCAACAAGTCGCAGAGTGGATTGAGCGGGAACATGCATGGGAGATGGAGGGAGAGCATGTGATGGTGCAGCGTCATGAACATCACCACATACATGAGCATCACCACCATCATCACTACCATCACTATTATGAAGCATGACAACCAACCCGCCCACGGAAGAGCACATGCAACAGACTCAGCAAGAATAAATATTTATTTTTTTTGTGCATTTAAGCACTGCCATATTGGCCAGTGAGATCTTTGAAATGAGATCACATGCATTTCTTACTACTTTTCGCCACAATGCAACCATTGAGTCTCTGTACAAAAACACTCTGCCAGTCCTCAATAGGGCAACATGAAATCCCATGATGCATTTGTAAAGTGACATCACTTCCTGTCTGGAACAGGGAAGACTTTTTGTGTTGTCTTTATGAAGTGGGTTACTGCCTTCTTGATTCTGATTGGCCGAAAGTGACCTTGACTTTGGCCACTGCTTGTGTATGGACATGAGCAGAATGGCTCAATCTACCTCTTGCAAGATTATGTTTCTATTCTCGTTTGCTATCATTCACGCCAGTTGTACAGAAACCAGACTTGTGAATATTGTATATTATGTATGTAGTCTATATTTATGCACTTGACTTCAGTATCAACTATACCTCGGCCTATTGCTAGTCAGGGTGTATATTTTCGGCCGAGATCGTTATTGGACAAAATGTTGTGTGAAAAATGTGCATGTACAAAGGACTGGATATTTGTGCAGCCAATCCCTGGACGATACATTGTGAACTGTTGTAGACTAATTACAAAGGTTCTGAGGGAAATCCAATTTTGTTGATTCATTTTCAACAGGTGTAAATTGCTTTCTGAGACAGTTTTCCTGCGAGTTTGATCATTTTGTTAAGATAAAATTTATTTATGATATTTGATGAACTTGTTTACTGCTGTTAATTAATGGTTTTAAGGCATAATCCAAATTGTTGTGTAATCGTTTAGAAATACACCTTTCCATATTGGAAACGTCATGAGGTTATATTTGTTATAGAGTATGTTCACGCAAGCTGAAGAAATGTCAAGTAATTGGATTGTGAAGTCGGTTTTAATCTCAAGAGGCCAGTCTGGTGTTGTCCCAGTGATAACAAAGTTGTATTGAACTGAGATTCACAGAATAACAACTACAACCCGTTGTGAGCTTTATGAAAGTCATATTTCTGCTATTTTCACAAATGTTACATCACCTTTGCTTTCTGGATGTAGACTGTTCAGTCCCCTGTATAATATTGGGCCGCATCTAATTATTGTGTTTTCATCATTTTCTTCATTAATTTAATCAGTTTCATATTTCCATGGTAACAAACACATTGTGTGAATGCTGTACTTCACTGTAACATTTGAAACTGACCTATACCAGCCTCCTACTGTAGATGCATGTGTTGGAGATGAGATTATTTAAGTGACTATTTGAGAATTCCTGCTCAAAATTGTGTTGTCTTTGTATCAGAAAACTGACTACATTCAACAGGAATAAAAACAGGCCGACCGAAACACTGTAATTGCCCAACAAGCCCACTTTTGAATTCTCTTATTGAAACTCATTTTTTTGGAATTCAAGTTAACCTAGGCAGAAATGCTATGGCTCGAAACGAACATTGAAAACATTTCCTCAGACATAGATGAGAAATTATCTTGATTGCTATTTAGTTTTCACACATTTTTTGTCTCATCTGACAATCTGTAACAATGGTCCTGATTGGCTGACCACTAAGTGAAGAACTAGAGTGCTCTTTTTCGGTTGGCTGTTGTTATGCCTGATCTATATAGTGATTTTTCTGCCTGGTTTGAAAGGTACGTGTTTTGATGCTTAAATATTGGTTCCAGACAGTCTGGTTGTAAGCACAGGATGTCGTTCTGTGTGTTGGTGCGGGTTCTCCATCATCAGCTCTAAGTGTACTCTTGTTAATACTTTAAAGAAATTCAAATTATTATCCTTTCATTCTGGCCACAATATCAGAATAGTGCATGACATATTTTGAAATACAAGGACTAATTAACAGTCTTATATAAATTTTGAGATGGTTTTACTAAGCATGAGAATAAGCCTCTGTTCATATTTTAGTTCATAACTCGTAAAACACACACCTGAAATTGTGTATTTTCAATATTTTGTCAATTATTTTTTTGAAATTTTGGGCGGGTAATTGATAGAAATCAGGTTGTGTTGAGGAATTACTCTTTTCTGAGAGCTATCAATTTACCTGCGTAGTGATGTAGGAGATTCTTGTTGCTCGTGGTATAGAATTGATGATGGAAGACAGGTGAGTGAGAGGCATCTCCCAGGTTTGTGTACTGCAGACTGTTTATACTACCCTTGTACTCACAATCTACCAGAAAAAATAAAAGGTTTTGTTGACATCCAATTCTGTGTTTACTTTGATAAAATGTGACAAATATGAGTATGTATGCTGGACAAAACCTGCCAGCAAAATACCTACCGCGGTTCTCCACTTTCTGTATGACAAAGCCAGAAGTCCTTGAAACAGGACAGCAGCATCGGTTTCACCACATCATGACTGTAGCTCTTGTCAGGAAAGGTGTGGTCGGGTAGCCTGGTGGTTAAAGCGTTAGCTCGTCACGCCGAAGACCTGGGTTCGATTCCCGACATTTCTGGTGTCCCCCGCCATGATATTGCTGGAATATTGCTAAAAGCGGCGTAAAACCATACTCACTCACTCACACTTGTCAGGAAGTAACTAATGTGTTCGCTTGTCATGATGAAGACCCGGGTTTGATTCCCGACAATGGTACAATGTGTGGAGCCCATTTCTGTTGTCCCCCGCCGTGATATTGCTGGAATATTGCTAAAAGTGGCGTTAAACCATACTCACTCACTGATTATGACAAGTGTCATGAGACATCTGTGTCATATGACTGGAATATAGATGGATGTATTGTATAACTCAGATATATATCAGGATACTGATTAGGGCAATTGTCACAAGACATGGATGTACTGTATAACTTAGATATACATCAGGATATGTATTAGGGCAACTGACACTATACATCTATTTATCATATAATGGGTAGGTTTCTCAGCAGGATAAAGCCAACGGATATAAACGATATCCGTTGGGGTCATATGCGGATAGAGATGCAAATATCAAAGGTCAAGTACGGACTACTTTCAGTGTTTATAAACAAACATGGCGTCGCCCTGGTCATTCAGCAATCGAGTCAGAATTAACCATCGGGAATCTGGATAAACATATTAAACTACAGGGATAATTGCTATCATTATCATAAGAACAGTCTAATATACTGAAAAGCAGTGTGTAAATGTGTAAATGTGTAACTAGCAAAGGCATTTTATAAGTTTTGCCAACTTTGGAGATGTAAATTTCCAAACAACTTTGCGAGGGCAGTAGCCATATCTGTGCCTGTAGACCTCTGCGGCTTGAAACCTTTTCCACAAATTAAAAAAGTTGGATTTTTGTAAAAAAAAGTTGAATATACATCAGGATACGTATTAGGGCAACTGTCACTTTACATGGACGTATTGTATAAGTCAGATATACATCGGGATACTGATTAGGGCAACTGTCACTACACATGGACGTATTGTATAACTCAGATATACATTGGGATACTGATAAGGGCAACTGTCACTATACATGGACGTATTGTTTAACTCAGATATACATCGGGAGACTGATTAGGGCAACTGTCACTATACATGGACGTATTGTTTAACTCAGATATACATCGGGATACTGATTAGGGCAACTGTCACTATACATGGACGTATTGTATAACTCAGATATACATCGGGATACTAGCTGTCACTATACAGCTATGTATTGTATAACTGGGATAGCCCTAGGGCCTATAGGATATAGGATATAGGATATAGGATATATATATATATATATATATATATATGTTATCATCAACCACCTAGTGTATTATTTCTCCATTATTTATGATAAACATGCTGGACCCAGTTGCTATAATAGCTTCGTATTGAATCTAGATCCACGTGACACAATCTTGAAATAGCCGTCCAATCAAATAACACTCAACTGCGAAAGAGATAGACTAACGTTTAGTCTCTGAAATCTTATATTACACAATATCCTTCTTGACTCTAAATATAAAAATAAATTCCCTATGCTGTGGAATAGAGCTAGCTTGAGCTAGCTTGAGCTGGCTAGACTTGCTTTTGTATGAATTTCTAGATATTTTTTTTCCATAGAATAAATATATTCCACGGTCATGGGCAGGACTACGAAATAGATTTCGCGAAGAGTTACTGATATTCGAGGGCGAGACATCACTTCCCAAAAGAAGCTCTGGTAGCAAATCGGCCCAGAGTACTTTTCAGGATAGAATGGAGATACATGAATCTCATAATGTATATAAAAACCACATGGGTGATATCAAGGAAATCCCCCAGGAGATAATGCTCTGCGGACCAATGTGACGTAATCAGATACCACGACGTCACAGTCAAATGGCATCACTAACATGTCTACCGCGCTGGTTAGCTGAACTTTTCACACTCAAGACACTGGTTCTGGCTGTTTGCAAACTGAAACAGTTGGAAGGATAACTTTGGAGGATACTAGTAAATAGAATCTCGGCTGAGTGTCTTCTGATATCAAATATTGATCGAGACGCCTCCGAAATATTTTGTTTGCAATACAAGACACAGGTGTGAGATTCTTGGTTTCGACAATATCACGAAATAATTGTCAAAATGTCGATCTCTATGGCTGGAGAGGGAATCTGAATAGGAGTAAGTCAAAACATGTATGTGACGTCATAGCATAGCAGTACCACAAAAATGTCTCTCTTCAGTAGGGGGCACGGGTGGCCCAGTCGTGTAAGGCGCCGCGATTCGCTGTGCAGAGTTGCGCCCCTTGAACACGCCAGAAACCTATGATTGTGGATTCGAATCCCGGTTCGACCCGATTATGTTTCCAGGTTTGTCAGCACCATACCCGTGTTCGTGGGTTTCACCGAAGTGGTAAACGTCTGAGACCTGCATCACTTCGGGCTTTCCTCCCACATCAAGCTGACACGCCGTGAAATAACTGGAATACTGTTAAAAGCGGCATTAAACCAACTCACTCACTCACTCACTCACTCTCTTCAGTAGTGTCTCATAATAGAGCTTCGCTTCTCTGCGGCATCTGTGTGACTAAGGTTTCACCATGACGTACATGTTACCAATGTTGTTGAAGGTATATTTACGTGTTGTAAGTTATCATTGCTGATAAAACATTGCCTAATCGGCCGATGAACAGAAATAGATATTGCTGGGCCAAATCAGGACTTGCGATCTCGGCGTCCTTGACCTTTCTTGGTAATTAGTGATCAGAAATATGATCCAATCGCCACATCTCTTGAGCTAAATGTTTAAACGTTAAGTAAATATTCTGAATTTATTTCGCACGTTAATCTCTAAATTTATTTCAATCTCGTTTCCATGTAAACACCTTTTGGAGGCAAAGTTATATTACTTTGCTTTCGTATTCTAATCATTCAAAAAATAGCCATCGCTTTTAGGGCATTAATATTCACGCGAATTGTGTTTTGAGCTGTGGCCTATAAAGATCGCTTGACGTTTTGTGCGTCTTAATATCTAGGTCCATATACACAAGGGCTGCATCAAGCAACAGCAGAAATCTCACACACCCAGATTCACCCCGTTCCTAATCTCACATGCCCAGATTCACCCCGCTCCTAATCTCACATGCCCAGATTCACCCCCTTCCTAATCTCACATGCCCAGATTCACCCCGTTCCTAATCTCACATGCCCAGATTCACCCCCTTCCTAATCTCACATGCCCAGATTCACCCCGTTCCTAATCTCACATGCCCAGATTCACCCCGTTCCTAATCTCACATGCCCAGATTCACCCCGTTCCTAGTCTCACATGCCCAGATTCACCCCGTTCCTAGTCTCACATGCCCAGATTCACCCTATTCCTAGTCTCACATACCCAGATTCACCCCGTTCCTAATCTCACATGACCAGATGGTCAGGCTCGCTGACTTGGTTGATGCATGTCATTGTTTCCCAATTGCGTGGATCAATGCTCATGATGTCAATCACTGGATTGTCTGGTCCAGACTCGATTATTTGCAGACCGCCGTCATACAGTTCTAGACTGTAGACATATGTGTAAAGGAGACAGATCAACAATATATGCACAGGAGACAGATCCACAAGATATGTACAGGAGAGCAATTTACAAGATGTGTACATGAGACAGATCTACAAGATGTGTACATGAGACAGACCTACAAGATGTGTACATGAGACAAATCTACAAGATGTGTAAAGGCGACAGACCTACTAGATGTGTACAGGAGACAGACCTACAGGACGTGTACAGGAGACAGACCTACAAGATGTGTACAGGAGACAGACCTACAAGATGTGTACAGGAGACAGACCTACAAGATGTGTACAGGAGGCAGATCTACAAGATGTGTACAGGAGACAGGTCTACAAGATGTGTACAGGAGACACATCTACAAGATGTGTACAGGAGACAGACCTACAAGATGTGTACAGGAGACAGACCTACAAGATGTGTACAGGAGACAGATCTACAAGATGTGAACAGGAGACACATCTACAAGATGTGTACAGGAGACAGACCTACAAGATGTGTACAGGAGACACATCTACAAGATGTGTACAGGAGACAGATCTACAAGATGTGTACAGGAGACAGATCTACAAGATGTGTACAGGAGACAGATCTACAAGATGTGTACAGGAGACACATCTACAAGATGTGTACAGGAGACAGATCTACAAGATGTGTACAGGAGACAGACCTACAAGATGTGTACAGGAGACAGACCTACAAGATGTGTACAGGAGACAGATCTACAAGATGTGTACAGGAGACAGACCTACAAGATGTGTACAGGAGACACATCTACAAGATGTGTACAGGAGACAGACCTACAAGATGTGTACAGGAGACACATCTACAAGATGTGTACAGGAGACAGACCTACAAGATGTGTACAGGAGACAGACCTACAAGATGTGTACAGGAGACAGACCTACAAGATGTGTACAGGAGACAGACCTACAAGATGTGTACAGGAGACACATCTACAAGATGTGTACAGGAGACACATCTACAAGATGTGTACAGGAGACAGACCTACAAGATGTGTACAGGAGACAGATCTACAAGATGTGTACAGGAGACAGACCTACAAGATGTGTACAGGAGACAGATCTACAAGATGTGTACAGGAGACAGATCTACAAGATGTGTACAGGAGACAGACCTACAAGATGTGTACAGGAGACAGAGCTACAAGATGTGTACAGGAGACAGATCTACAAGATGTGTACAGGAGACAGATCTACAAGATGTGTACAG